ATCCAGGAAACTGCTGATCATCAGGTTTCAGCCCAAGTGTGACCCAAGTCAGAGCCTCATGTAAATATCTGTATCTCATCATCTCACTCCAGTGAACACCCAAGTGTCTGAAGCCAGACAAAGCAAGGCTTTGAGTTAAAATGTGCACTTCTTACTTTCCTCATATTGGCATTTATAGATTTCCTCACCCACACTTCCACCATTCAGTAATATGTGTCTTTCATCAAATAACATATTTTCTTGCTCTGTTACTGCTAAAAACCCTACTTCTTCTGCCAGAAATGCCCTAAAGCCTCTGCAGCGTTGAGTTGGTGCTGTAACACAGCTTAGGGACCTGGGTTTGTTGTAGTTACATCTTTGTATCAAGTGCAGCTCCTGAGTCTGCAGCCTCACGCCAGTGAAATGGGCGGCTGCCAGTGAAGTCAGTGTGCTCTGGGATTCTGGGGTGAGGCCTCAGATTGGGCCCCACCCCATCCCAACAGTTCAGCAGAGGAACTGTCTGCTGTGTGATTAACAGTCACTTACAAGGGCTGATGAGAAAGCATGAGAGATTTCTGTGTTAGTCAGATGTTAACTGGGAGGGTCAGAATTCAGTCACAATTTACAAACGCATTTTGCAATTAGTGTTGATGGGAAAGGAAGTGAAAGCAGAGAGAGTAATTAAATGTGGCTTTGTTAGACCCTTCTGTCACATGTACCCAGATGTTGTGGGGGCTTTGGCTGATGTTCAGTATTAAACTGTATTTAAACTGCAAAAAACCACCCAGGAAGAGTGAGGTTGTGTTCTAAAATACGTCACTCTTCGTGAGCTATTTGGACACAAATGGAAAAAGGTCCTAAGGCTCAGTGACACCTGACCTGTTTGATGTGAAGGGGAGGGGAGGGAGGATATAGCAGCAAACTGTCCTGGATGTCTCTATTTCTATCTCCACATTTCTAAGGAAAAATTAAGGCATCTCTTCATTTCAGGTTACAAAATAACCCTTCCAGTTTCTGGGAAAGGTTCTGGAATAATCACCAGGAAGTCTGGCTGACTTCAAGGCAGGGCCTGTTAAGTAGAAAATTGAGATTGTATTATATGGATAAGCAGGAAATCATAGTCAGTCAAGGCCCCATAAAGAGAAAAGTTTTGAGTTACTGAAAAAACCCTCAACCCACAATGGCAGTCTGTTCTCCCACCTGCTGCTCTGGTTATGTTCTGCTCTGGCAGATGCTATCAATAGGTTTGTCATTTGGTGATGGATTAGGCCTCTGCTGAAACTCCTCTGTTGCCAGAAATGAGTGTGCCCCTTCTTTCAGGCCAGTTGTGACAGTGGATGAGGGAGCCCAAGGTGCTGAGCCTGGATATTAAGGAAGGTGTATTTTTTACTGCTTAGTTCTGCTGTTCTGCAGTTGGCTTGTGGTAGAGCTGCTACAAAGATCTGCTGACTATCATCACATGTCTGCCAAGGCTTTTAATCAAGGCTCAAGGCAGCAGATGGTATACCCAGAAACTACAGAATTATTGTGAAAATGAAAGGAAGAAAGAAATTTCAGAGGAACTGTGTTCCTTTCTGAAGGATGCCAAGTCCTAACATTGTAGGGCAGCATGAGGTGCTTAGGAAGGAAAAGTTGTCTACTTATTAATTAGCTCTGCCTGTCTCCAATTAACTTAAAACCAGGTGAGGAGTGAGAGTCTAAGACTTGCAGCTACAAGCAATCATGTCATAGACAGTTTATCAAGAAGACATAAAAGCAGTCCATCACTCTGACAATCCTGGCACTGTGTGTGTGAGACACCAAATTCCACTGCACTGGAATGTGCCCAGGAAAGGACAAGCTACTTGCTTCAAGCCTCTTCTCTCAGCTGGGGACAGATCCACTCTTCCTGCTTATGCCACTGGTCAAGGCTGAACAGGGGAAGACAAACACGAGGAGAAAAAAACCAACAGACAGACTTTCATCCCATAATAGAGAAAGCCTCAATATTTACAGTGGGATGGGAGATGTCACCAAGCAGGGGAAAAGGGAACAATATTGGCAGGGCAGTCAAGCCAGTGATGCTTTCCCATTTCTGCAGCACAAGATGAGGAGGGCTCAGTGACATTTCTAGCAAGTCTGACCTATTTGTCATCTGTGTAGAAAGAGTTTGCGTCAGCCTTTGTGACATGAGCAAACATCTCAGGGGTGACACAGGGGTTTGTTTACACACACAGGTGCCAATTGGCTGCAGCTGAAGCTGGACTTGCATTACAACATGAGGAAACCTCTTCTCCACACCTGCTAATGCTGCTACCATGGCTGGGTAGGGCTGAATACACCTGCACAAAGTCACACAAATGAGGAACTGTAGAACCTGGGCTGGTGATCTTCAGAGCTGGCAGATCTTCCCAAAGTCACCCTGCTTATACGCTCAAAAACAGATTTAAATCCATTTCATTCACATTGACAATTCAAAATTATGTTCCCCCGCCACAAAAAACTCAGATTGTAGCAGCAGGCTGCAGCCTCTGCTGTCCCCTGCCCTCCAACCTGGCTTTTCACACCCATCAGCTGCCAGCACCAGTGTCATGACCTGGATTCAAAGATGCTTTTTAAACCCCTGATTACATGGCCTACTTCCTGGCTATGGAAATGAGGCCAGGTGGATTCTATTTTAAAAGCCTGCTAAAGACCGTGGCTAAAATAGCTGACAACATCACCAGACCACTGGGGCTTAAAGGGTTTCACAGTGCCTCTGTGGCTGAGAGATGTGCTGGCTTTATCTCTGTGTTTTATGTTTCATTTACTAATAGGATTTTAGGAATGTTACTGGTGTGGTGCCTCTCCCCTTCTGGTTGCCAGGCAGTTGTGGGGAATCTTCAGCCTTTCTATAGACCAGATTGCCACTAGCACAGCACCCTGGCTTTCCTCCACTACCCTGCTCCAAAGAAGCTACAAGCAATTTCCAAGTACCCCTAAAATCACAGCAAACTGAGGAGAGATGCTCAGTGAGAACAAAGTCAGCAGAACTCTCATGAAACTCTTCCCCACAGCAGCTGCATTTGAGGCATAAGGTCTCAGTTTATGTAGTAGCAATACAGCTCCTTTGCTTTTCTGCTCTCCTAAACTGTTTCTCTTTCAGGACATATTCCTGCTTCCAAGCACCTGCCCACACCAGAGCTGAGTGGTTTAGCTGGGTTTTACCTGATAAACACAAATAATGCTCCTTATTAAAGGATTTGCTGGACTAGGCTATGAGACTGACACATAGCATTTGATCCACTGCAGAGCTAAGTGTGCCAGCAGCCTCTGAAGTTGGTGAAGAAGTAAAGGTGGTAGGTACAATGTATTGTCCCTTTCTTTATGGATGCATTTTTACAGATGTGTTTATCAAGCCTAGGATTAATAGAAATATTGATGTGCTTTTTAAAAAAGATTTACGGGGTGGGGAAAAAGTCAAGTTTCCCACTGCCCAGTTTTATAAATAAGCCTTTGCAGAATCACACCTTTGCCTGATTCTGCAATGAGCCTGCTGACCTTGTGTCCAGCGTGGGTGAAATGGATCAATTAAATGAGATTTAAAGACTTGTGCTTTTATGATCTTATAGTTTTAGGGGTAGCAGATTGGTCTGAGTATATAATGTGCACTTTCCTTCTGATGATGCATTTTTAGAAGTGGAAGGAGAAAGTCTGACAAACCCAAATTCTACTAGTCAAATAGTGGAAATGGCTTCCTAGTCCTGAGGGGAGAAAAAGGTGCAGTGGCCAATTCTAGAGAAAAGACCATTACTGGTATGAGTTAGCAAATCACTGGTTTACTATGAAGAGTCTTAGTAAACATGTCTGAATACAGTTTTCCTATACCAGCCTGAGCTGTGATACAGTGTTTATTCCGGGGGAACAAAATACTAAATTTTCCAGGCTTGGTTTCTCTTGGAGGCTGTCCACAAAGGACCTAAAGAAAGTAGCTTACCTCCTTGCCAGCTTGGCTGCATCTGCTGCAGCACTTCCGTTGACTAGAAGGGACACGTTAGATACGGCACCAGCCAGGAAACAGTCCACAATGCCTTGGTTTCTCCGAGGACAATAGCCGAAGTCATCTCCAGTTATTATTAGCTTCACCTGAAGCATCCTTAGATGTCATGCCTGGCAAAAAAAAAGTAAAAGGAGGTTAAATCGGAACACTCTGCAGCCTGCAGATCACCGGCAAACAGGAAAAGAGAGGCTTACCGCGGGCAAAGCCAATCGTGACTCAGCCCCTGAGTGACTCCTGCTCCACCTCAGCCGCCGCCGG